CTGCCAGATTGCTTCCAATTTTTCTAGTATTTTGTAGTGATTAGTAAATTCTAGCCCCAGAGTTGGGGTCCTTAGATTTATTGAACCTAGGGTTATTATACTCAACTTTTTTTTAATGTTATATACCTTATTCATTCAATTTCTCAAGTTTGTTTTTAAATTGTTCCCCAGAAATACAAGCTAGAGAGCATTTGAGGCAGAATTTGAATCCATTTTCCTGATTCTAAACCCAATGCCCTCTGTTACAGTAGCGCCTTCCTCTATCCTTTTCTGAAAATGAATTTGAATGAAAAGTGATTAAACTGTCCACTTTAGTATACTAACTCTGAGACTTATAGCCCATGAAATAAATAACAATAACTAGCTTTTCCATTGTAACGTAACACTTACAAAGCTTTTCTACAATTATCTCATTTATTCCTCATATCAACCCTAGGAGGTAGTTGCTATTATTATCCCCGTTCTATAGATGGGGAAAAACCAGGCAGGAATAGGTTAAGTGACTTGGCCAAGGTCACACAATTACTAAGTATTAGAGATTGAATTTGAGCTCGTCGTATGGCTCCATGCAGAGGAAACTATCCACTGTGCTACCTTGTTGATTAAAAAAACGATTATAGAAATAAATGTCCAACAGATACAAAAATATTTATACCATGACACTTAGTGTCACTAAAAGAACAGGAAACAAAGTATTGATCAATTAATGAATAGAAATTATGGCATATGGATGCTATGGAATATTATTAAAGAATAATAACAAACATTAGGATTTCAAAGAAATATTCACTATATTTATGGGACTTTTTCATCAGTATGAAATATGGAATATATAGCCAAGTCTAAACTGCAGCAAGAAGCCTTCCCTCATTACTTGGACCCATAAGTTTTATCTCCACCATCATTTCTCCAATATATAATCAAGTATGAGCTCCACATACACACCCTGACATTGAGAAAAGGCATTGCTTTTGTAAGTGTTCCCATATGAATATTCTGATGTCTAGTCATCTACCTCTTCCACAGAAAATCGTGTTTCCATTGAGGAAATCTGTAAGGCTTTTCTCCACCACGAATCCTCTGATGTAAAGTAAGAGACGATCTCTGGTTGAAGGCCTTCCTCTATTGAGTCCACATAGAGCATCTCTCCAGAATGAATTTGACTGCCTTTCCTCAATCGTTAGTGATGAAATTTCTATCTAGTATGAATTCTCTGATGGGAAATAAGGGATGACTGTTACTTGAAGGCTTTTTCACACTGATTATATATATAAGGTTTCTCTCCAGTGTGGATTTTCTGATGTTGAGCAAGAGAGGCCCTCCATCTGAAAATCTTTCCACACTGATTTCATTTATAAGGTTTTTCTCCAATGTGACTTCTCTGATATACAGCAACACTGGAGTTCTGTCAAAAAAAAAAAACCCTTTCCACTTTGATTACATTCTTAAGGTTTCTCTCTAGTGTGGATTCTCAGGTGGTTAGCAAATCACACCCTATCTAAATAGGCCACTTCACACTGATTACAATCTTAAGTTTTTTCTCCTGTGTGGATTCTCTGATGAAGATAAAGACTAGAGCTCTGTCTGAAAGTCTTTCCACATTGAGTGCATTTATAAGGTTTCTCTCCAGTGTGAATTCTCTGGTGTTCATTAATACTGGATCTTGTTCTGAATGTCTTTACACATTGATTACATTCATAAGGTTTCTCTCCAGTGTGGATTCTCTGATGTGTCAAAAGATGGGCCTTCTGAGTGAAAGCCTTTCCACACTGATTACATGTGTAAGGTTTCTCTCCAGTGTGGATTCTGTGATGTACAGCAAGACTGGAATTGTGTCGGAAAGCCTTTCCACATTGATTACATGTGTAAGGTTTCTCTCCAGTGTGGATTCTCAGATGGTTAGCAAGATGGGGTTTATCTGCTAAAGCCTTTCCACATTGATTACATTTAAAAGGTTTCTCTCCAGTGTGGATTCTCAGATGGTTAGCAAGAGTGGACTTTTTTGTGAAAGTCTTTCCACATTGACTGCATTCATAAATTTTCTCTCCAGTGTGTATTCTCTGATGTACAAGAAGATTGGAGTTTTCTCGGAAAGCTTTTCCACATTGATTACATTTATAAGGTTTCTCTCCAGTGTGGATTCTCTGATGTTTAAAAAGACTAGCGTACTGTGTGAAAGTTTTTCCACATTGATTACATTTATAAGGTTTCTCCCCAGTGTGGATTCTCTGATGTATAGCAAGACTGCAGTTTTCTCGGAAAGCCTTTCCACATTTATTACATTCATAAGGTTTTTCTCCAGTGTGGATTCTCTGATGTTGAATCAGTTTGGAATTCTGTGTGAATGCCTTTCCACATTGATTACATTTATAAGGTTTTCGTGCAGTGTGAATTTTATGACGGTCAATGAACTTTGAGTTCTGGCTAAAGGCCTTTCCACCTTCATTACATATATAAAGCATTTCTCTAGTATAACTTTTCTGATGTCTAATGAGGTTGAATGTCATTTCCTGTTGAAAATCTTGACACATCTGCACTTGAGGAGGCTTTGAATAAGACTGAATAAGCCCAGCCTTTTGAGTTAAGCATTCCCTGTCTTCACTATACTGAAAATAGTCATTTTCTGAAGTCATTTCCTTACACTGAATTGGGACTGAATGTTGTCTGAAACTCTTTGCATCTTTATCAAATTCACAGTTACCATTTTGATTTTTCTCATTCTTGATATCAGAGTCACAAATTTCTCTCAAATTGACGTCACTCACGAATCTTGGCTGGTGAGATTCTTCCACAGAGATGTTCAGTTTTGCAAGTGTCTCCACGTGAAACCTGGTCCTTGCATCTGAAGGAAACACAGTGTAATGATTAAAAAGGCTGAAGAGACAGAATTTCTGGGTAATTTAGTCATTTTATTAATAAGGCCAACATTATTAATAAAAGGATGGTCATTCAGCCATCTCTGTTGACCAAAGACCCCTAATGGTTGTGGGTCAGTTTATATGCCCTTCGAAGAAGATGTGTTCCTGCAGGATGCCTAATCACCTCTGACTGGTTAATCTAATGGGAAGTGGGCAATCCTCAATGACTCTGGTCACTTAGATCTTGGTCAAAAAGACATCAATTTCCTATCTTTATAATGGACATTTTCCCAGGACCTAAGCAAACCCAATGAGCAGGAATACACCTATTAGCCAAAACTTAGAATTTCTTTTACCGTCAGATTAGATCTTGGCCTGGGGAAGAGAGATTTCCTACAGACTGATTTCTTGATGAGGAAATATAAAAGAGGAAAAACCTTGGTCCTAATACAAAAATTACTTGTTAAATATAAGAGAGAAATATTCATTCCTCACAACAGTTACACACACACACACACACACACACACACACACCTCTTCCCAAAACTGGGAGAAAGTAAACTGACTTATATTCTGTCTCCCCAGTCAAAAAGAAAAATTTACAAACTTAATGGGCAGAGTTAATTAATTGACAAAGACATTAGATCACACCTGCAGGATATTTTAATTTAAGAACAACTTCACAAACAATAACACTGGATGCTCACAGCAAACCTGTGACACGGGCAAGGTGGGATTCCCATTACACTTTACAAATCCAATCATGAGCTCAGAATGGCAGTCACATGACCAACATCCCTGCAGGTGAGACTCAAACCCTGAGACTGAATGTGCTTTCTCCAGCACTAAATGGCCTTTCTCTATTTCACTTTGACTCCTTCATTCAAATGCTTTGTCATTATTCTTATTAATGTTGTGCTCAGGTAAATTTTCTGCTTTTCTATATTGACTAGTTTTGATGTAACTATCACATGGTCATCCTTTGTAAATTCCCGGTGCTGAGCTGAGAAACAGGTCTATGCCTTTCACCTGTCATCTATTAATTTTCAGTGTTATGTTCAACTTTTCTTATGTACTATTCAGATCCATAGATATGCCATTTGCTACATATATATTAAGAACTGATATTTCATTATCTGCCACATCTTTGGGCATAATGAAATTTCTCTGCTAATACTTAACTGCCAATTCTGTTTTTTTTTAAATCCACTGGAAGCATAAGATTGTTACCACACATGACTTCGTAAAGGATAGCTATTCTTAATTTATCTTTGAAAGTCTGGGTTCCCTAAATGAAAAAGAAAAACCAGAGACCTTGTAATAAACACAATAAAAAGAAATTATTCATTTCCCATGTTCAAAAACATCATGTCTCATTCTGCATCTTCAGACCATCCTCCTTCTTTCAGGAAGTGTGCAGCATGACTCACAATGAGTCGCTATTAGCAGCACTTCCTATTTAGTGGTTCATAATCATACTGGGAATTCTAAGGGATCTGAGCTAAAAATTCTTTAATGGCATCCCCTAAACAATAAATAATTACACAATTTTCATTTTTTTGAACTTTTGGACAATAAGGATGTACTTGTTTCAAACATAACAGGCTCCTTTATGCAGTGATTCCTATCTACAGCTACTAACTGTGTCAAGTGTTTGTTCTGAGGCCGGATTTGAACTCAGGTCCTCCTGACTTCAGGCCCAGTGCTCTACCCACTGCACCACCTAGCTGCCCCTACTGAGCAGATTTTCAAAGGATCTGGTTGGCACCAGAGGTCAGTCCTTCTGTAGAGTTTCTATGAGGATACAGGCACTGTGCCACTGGTAGAAAGAAGAAACTTACGTATGAAGATTCCTTTGCTTACAAATATTGTTTTATCTTGTGGTTATAAGCCAGAATTCCTAAGGGACAGAAAGCTGGGCCTAGTCAGGAAGACCAGAGTTCAGATCCAACCTCAGACACTTACTAGCACTGTGACCCTAAGCAAGGCACTTAGTCTCTTCTTGCCTGTTTCCTCAACTGTAAGATGCAGATAATCAGAGAGCCTGCCTCACCGCATTGTGGTGAGGATCAAATGAGTAACCTTTCTAAAGTACTTAGCCCAATGCCCAGCACATAGGAGGCACTGTATCAGTGCTATTTATTATATCATTTTTGTTATTGATATATCAACTAGATGCAGAACCACTTTGAAGATTAAGTTTGGTGGCTACTGAGTCAAATATTACAAACCTTTCTTCAAAGAAAAAAACATCCAATTTTGAAATGAGTTTCACCTATTACATTATGTTTAGCACCTTCCCAATTATAAACTTTTTTGATTTAAAAAAATTCTATTCATATTCAACAAAATCTGCAAAATAAAAAATTTAAATTGAAGTCTTACAGGTAATAAGTAGGAAATCTTACTGTATTTTAAAAAGTAATTCTTGCAGAAAGTCCCACACTAAATTTTCATAATTATTTTATGAATATATTATAATGTACATTTGTTTTCATAATTTAAGTAGGATAAAATATAATTTTATATTAATACATTGTAACAAAAGTATGGCAAAAGTGGACCAGGTCATTATTATAGGAATTAAACGCATTAATGAATAAGAATATGAGTAATAGTTTAAAGCTCTAGAACACACATACTATTGTTCAGTCTAAGAACAAAAGGTTTTGGGAACCACTGCTTAGGAGTCATGGTTGTTCTTTGCATTGATCAACATAGCTACAGTATAAATTATTCTGTTGCTTCTACTTACTTATCTCTTTATCTGTTCAGACAACTCTTCCCAGGTTTCTCTGAAACTGTGTCTTTTACCATTTCGCAAAGTTCAGCAATCTATTATATTCTTAGAGCATTTATTCAGTCATTTCCTGATAGATGGGCACCATCTTTGTTTCCAGTTCTTTGCAACAAGAAAAAAATAGCAGCTGTAAGTTTGTTTTATGTGTGTCTTTTCCTTCTTCTTCTTCTTTTTAAGGCAATTGGGGTTAAGTGACTCATCCAGGGTCACACAGCTAGTATCAAGTATTTGGTGTGAGGCTGGGTTTGAACTCAGGTCCTCCTGATTTCAGGGCTGGTGCTCTATCCACTGCGCCATCTAGCTGCCCCTCCTTCTTTCTTTAATCCCTTTAGTTGAGTGGTTATCACTGGGTCAAAGGACATCCAGGTTTGTGAAACTGGGGGCAGAGTTCCAAACTCTATTACAGAACGACATCCCTTTATTGTAATGCTGTGTGAATATGTTTCAAGGATGTTTCTTATACACAATTAAGTTATCTGGTTTAGCTTACTAATTCATTCTCTTAACTTCCTCCATTATTATTTAGTTAAGACAATTATGTTTTCTCTATCATATCCTCTTCTCCTCTTTTCCCCTGCCTCATTCTGCAGAAATAAACAAACAAACAAAAAAAACCAGATAAGTAAAGAGAATGGGATCAACATTTACTGCCTACAATTGAAATATCATGATCTTTACTCCTCACCACACTTATCAATCCATTTCAGTCCTAGTTGACTGGTTTTATTTTATTCTCTTATCTTTTTAATCTCCCCTAATTAAAGCATCCTCAATGGTGGAAACATTTAACAGTGGATAGAGCACTGGGCCTGGAGTCAAGAAGACTTGAGTTCAAATACAGCCTCAGATACTTACTGTGTGACACCGGGCAAGTCACAATCCCTGTTTGCCTCAGTTTCTTTAGGAATAAAATGAGGATGATAATAGCACCTATCTTCCAGAGCTGTTTTAAGGATCAAATGAAATATCTGTAAATCATCAGCATGTGGTGGATGCTACATGTTACTTTTTATAATCACTATTTTGATTATTTTCCTCACCAACTCTGCTATCCTTAAACTATTTTCCTCTCATCATCTACACACTTATTTCCCTGTTCAACGTAAGGTATTTCCACAGCCAAACACCCTCCTTTGCTGAGATCAGCTAAGGGAGGTTCGTGATCTGCTGCCACCTCTATGCTTGTATACTAGAATGCGAGCTCCTTGACAAGAGACCATCTTTTGCCTTTCCTTGTATCCCCAGAGCTTAGTACAATGCCTAACACATAGTAGGTACTTACTCAAGATTTACTGACTTTCCAAGTCCAGAGCTGACACCAGGACCCAGCCTCTCTCTCATTCCCTGGATTCTGGCCTCTTCCTTATTCCTCAGAGGCAGGCTCTGGCCTCAGCCCTATTTCTGTTTCTTACCCCTTACCACCTTTGTCTAATTCAAGCCCAGATGGGACCTGTCCAGAGCAGATGTGGGAGAGCACAGAGGTTTCTAGGTTCCTGGATGATTTGGTACTACAGGCTGTCTGGGAGTCTCTACCTCAATTTCCCTAACCTTAAGGAGGCACCTCAATGAATGTTGCCAAGGTTTTTCTGAAAATGGAGACAGAGATTGGGCCACAGAGATCAGGAAAGGGCCTTAGGTGGATGACTTATGCAAATCTCAGGCTAGGATAACTCCTTCCACATAAGGCAGCAGCCTCCATTCTTACTCACATGCTGCTGAATGGAGACAAAAGAAAATCATGAAACCAGCTTGGTCCACTGCCAATTTAGGTTACGTAAGTTGAGCTGGATTCTCATTGTGGCAAGGTAAATATCTATATCTCCCTGAGATACCTCCCTCTATATCTCACTTTTCCACTCTCCACAGCAGATTCAAATCTTTGCACTGCTTCCCAAACCTATTTGGTTTACTCCCTTCCAACCTCTCTCAGCTGAGAACTTAGTCTCATATTTCACTGAAAAATCAGACATTTGCAAAAAGCTCTCCTTCTTTTGTTCCTTTGCCCCAGTTTCCCAAGAAGAGGTGGCCCTTCTGCTTGCCAAGGCAAACACCTTTACTTGATAAAATAATCCCAATCATCCCCTTTAAATCCTCTCAGGTTAAGTCCATCACCTGTAATCTCATCATCTTCCTGCTTACTAAAGCCTTGACTGAAGCCATATCCTTCAGCCTCCTCTACCCTCT